TTACACTGCTAAATTAGGGACGGTTAGCGCAGATAGCCCTCGTGTAACTTTGCGCGAAATTCAAAACAAACAGACAAACAAGTAAATTTGTTGCAAGTTATGTCCATCACTTCTGGTGGTTTTAAATTCTGTCTTTTAACAAACAATTCCAGGTAGTGATTTTATCTAAAAGAAAACAAGTGGCTGGAATGATCGCAAGGAGTAGAATCAGTTATCTCAAAGATGTAATAATGGTGTACAAGTACCCCTTTTCAAATACGCTGATACCTCTCCGGTTACGTAGTAAACTCAGCTACATACGAGAAAACATTGTTGCTACTAAAAATATAATAAGTAAATAATTCAGTCTTCCTTCTAAAAACTTTGTTTCTAATTACATTCTGTTTGATCAGTGGAGTTCTGAAAGCTGACGTCATTAAGTGAACAAAGCACTTGGCGCGTGAGAGCGCGACATGTGCCTTTCGTCACGAGATGTTGGATCAGGTATATACTTTAATTCTAGCCAGTGGCACTAATACTGTCACTTGCAGGCAGCGCTCTTATAGCAAAGGAAGAAACAGTTTTAACAAGGCTGTAATTCACATTTGTTAAAGTTAATGGAGGTAGGATAAAACAGTAGCTTTTTATTTAAGGAGAATTAACTGATTTTGTCTTAATCTGGATAAAGAAAAAAAAAAAGTTGAACACCACTACATGGTGTTGACATTCATACGGAGTGTTTTAGTCTCAAGCGTTATTAACTTACGGTTACGAGACTAACGTTTACTACAGCAGTCAAGCGATGTTCTGTGAAAGTCTGCTATACAAGCAAAGATGTTTCCTGACCAGAAGTAGTTTAAAACATAAGAGTGACCAATTAATTTAACTAAGAAAATCACCCTGTAAAAAAACAAAACAAACTAAATACTAAACGCAGTACTTTTGGAGTACAATATTGAGTGAGGTATTTTAGTAAGGGGTACGTTAATCTCAACACATAATGGACAGTGAGAAGTTTAAGAGTCGAAATAGCACGTGGTGTTCGACCTCCTTACACGTGTCAAAAGAAGTGTTTGTTGCTAGCAGTGTATTTCTGTGGCTTGGTCTTCTATTAGGATTGCTGTGCAACTCTGCTGTAATAATGACTATACTCCACAGATGGTCACTGCGCTCCTCCACGGTAAACATTCTTGTTGTTAGTTTATGTGTGGCTGACCTCCTAGGCACTACTTGTGATATTCCTTTGATTATAACTATCCAAATATCAAATTATTTACGGTTTCAGCTGCCACGTGCAATCTGTTCTCTACAAGTGTTCTTCCACGCTTTTGCAAGTGGTGCACAGGCCACAGGGTTGGTGGCTGTAGGGTTCGAACGATACCATTCCATTGCTCGTCCATTAGAAGCTAATGTCAAACGCACGCTTTGGCGAATGAAAACTGGAATTATGAGCACCTGGTCAGTTGGACTTCTGTTGGGCATAATCAATTTGACTCTAGTTCCAGACACTATCACTTATGATTATTGCACACAACTTCGTGGGCACGACAGTCTGAGTCATGATGCACTACTTTATCTATTCTTACCTTTCGGCTTAATTTGTATTGTGCTAATTACATCCTGTTATATTTGCATCATCATGTCTGTTCGCCAGCACTCGCGGTCAGTGGGTTCATCTCTTCAAGTTCCCCCTACTATAAGAGTGACAAATATGCAGTCACCGGATGACACGAGTCAACCTCATGTATTTACAGTCTCTGATGCCTTCCTCTCTCCTGCAACCAGTTGTCTGGAATTAAAAACAGATCCAGAAACATTGTGCACCAGTCCATGTAACCATCTGGCTCCAGGTCGGTATCGAAATAAAATAACTTTGTCATCAAAACCAAACATGAAAAATACGCTTACTACCTTTGACCCGTCAAATATTAATGATTCAAACTCGGTGCTATCAGTTTGTAATTCTTTGTCATTACCAAATCGGGATGGTTTGTCATCGCACTGTATCAGCTCTCATAAAGACTTTCAATTTTCAGCAAATGAGACTACAGCTTCTGAGAGTTTAGGGTATCAACCTCACCAATCAGGAAATCCTATATTCCCAGGCTCTTTACAATCCTGTCAAACTTCTGACCAGTTTGTCTCCATGAAATCAGCGAGTACTGATTCGTGTAAATCTCTCAGAAATAGCGTTATCAAGGTCAAGAATGTTTCTTTGCTAAAAGCAGCTCGTGAACAAAATTCACCTCAACCTTTGTGCTTAAATAGTGATGCTATTTCGATCACAACATCGGTCTCGGACAATATTTCACCATCATCTACTCCTAAAGGTAATAAAACAAACTTAGCTAAAAAAAATCTGTTTACCGACCAAGCAACAATGTCTTGCAGAAATTCAAGCTTAACGAGGCACTGTGAATTAGAAAACGAGCAACATATTAAACTTATACCTCCGCTTCTTATAGAACGATCCCATTCAAATGAAAACAGCATTTACCAAGAAATTTGTCTTGGTGCAAAAAATAATTGTGAACGAGGAAAGAGAAAAATGGAAACTCAAACTGCTAAACGCGCTGGCTATATCATTGCCTCTTTTGTTCTACTGTGGCTGCCTCAACCACTGACAACGTTTCTGGAAAACAGCGTTTTCACCGATGTAGCTCATGCTCACAACATCCAGATGTTCACCGTATCAGTTGCTACGTTCTCGGCCGCAATGAACCCAATTGTCTACGGACTGGCTATCAAACAGTTCCGGGCTACATTTATTACAATGGTACTGAATCAGTGGCGAAGATGGAAACAAAGGTGGCTTTGGTGATCTGAAAATGTGCAGTAAATATTAAGTTGTAAATTTTTAATATGACAAAGACATACTTGGAAGGCGTTGGTTTAACAAAGAATATCCATCAAAGAAGTTTCTGGACGACGTTTCAAGTTGCTAGCACTAGCAGTTCGAAACGTCGTCCAAACACCTCTTAGTTAGATGCAATTCATTAACATGTTTCAAGTATAATCTTCCCTGTTTAAACATAAGTATCTGAGAAATGGGGAATTTTCCCCTTTTTTCTAGCATTTGTACGTTACCGTACAGTTTCATTATGGCTGGACTTGTCGCTATCACTGTGACATCACAGTCTTGATTTCCTAAAAAAAAAATCTATCTGTATCTCATAGTGTTTGAAATAATAAACAAATTAGCTGGCGTAAATTACATTAGTTTTTAAGGATTGCTATGTAAGTTTTGTTCATAAAATGTTAGAAAACTATTCTATTTTAACGAATAAAGATGTGATTAGAAGAAAAAAACAAGCGTAATTTTGTTTCCAGTCTTAAGCGTTTGTTTTCAAATCAGAAACGAATTAAAACAGTATTTGTTGAACGTACTTTTATTGCGGAGGAAATGTTAGTCTCCGTATCTGTTATCATTAAAAACGTAAACTGGGTATTAATGTGTCTTGGTTTTTGTTTATCGATATCTATAGCTTTGAAATTCCATTCTAATAATGGCTTGCGCGGAATTTATCAACCTATAGAATTTTCTTGCAGTAGTTCCGATACTATAAATACCAACCAAGTAGAGTTGTATTATTCGTAATTAAGCACAAAGCTACACAATGGGCTATCTGTGCTCTGCCCACCACGGGTATCGAAACCCGGATTCTAGCGTTGTAAGTCCGCAGACATACCGCTGTGCTACTGGGGAGCCCCAAGTAGAGTTAAACTCAAAAAACAAGACACAAAGCTCGTAGAACTGAATTAGTGTTTTTCAAATAACTCTTTCGGTATAAGGACTGAACGTATGTGATAAACATCCAATTAAGAACCGAATTAAATACACGTTATATTTTAATAGAGATGCTCTTTGGGGATAACTACCATTACCAAAATCGATGTTACATTAGCAATTATTTACCTTTCGTCACTTGAGCTTAAAGTATATATATATCGATGTAGGGAATGAATTTTAAATTCCAAGTCAGTATTTTTGAATTATTTATGTTATTGGTTAATAGTGTTTCTTATGTATCATTAGTTATTAATGGTGCCGTTCCTTTTTGAAGTTATATATTCAAATCTTATCGAATGACCTGTTAAGCCAAAGAGTTTGTTATTGTTTTTACATGTTCCACATCTGAAAAACAGACGACAGACACACACACTGATGAATATTGTTATATTTAAACGTAATGTCGCTAAACAAATAATTTCTCTTTTTAGACAATAGTATATAATTAATATAATATCACAGCATTCCAGTTTTGAATATTAGATACATTTTTATTTTACAATTTGGTAAGAATGTCGGTAAATTAATTTGGTTCGGTTTGTTTGTTTGGAATTAAGCACAAAGCTACACAATGGGCTATCTGTGCTCTGTCCACCACGGGTATCGAAACTCGGTTTCTAGTGTGGTAAGTCCGCAGACATACCGCTGTGCCAATGGGGGACAATTTGGTTCGGAGATTTGCGCAAAGCTACAATAGGTCTCTCTGCGCTAACCGCCCATAATTTTGAACTGACAAGAGTGGAAGGTTTG